AACTCATAAAAGCTATGAGAAACCCAAATTACTTAGGAATGTACAAGTGTCAAAAAGATAGTAAAGAAAGTGGAAAAGAGATGCATACGAGGCAATAGAGAAAAAAGCAGTTAGAGAAAAAAGCAATTCCTCACTGGCTTCGAGTACGGCATGGCTGAACAAGACAAGAAACACAAACTCTAACGGTCAAGACATTTTATCCTCTTATCCTTTTTTTACTATGAATCCAGTACTTCATATTCGTAGTTATAAACTTAAATCACTAAGAAACGACCCAAAAGTTGCCAACAAATCCTCTCCAAATTACCAAATTGTCGTGTCTCCAATAGTCTGATAGTGCATGTTACAAACGCCCACAAGAACTGCCAGCCACACTACAAGGTCAGCAATGAATCCAACCAAAACTCAGAATCCAAACAAGTTTACCTAATCACAAATAAAGACATAAGAAATGTAAAGGTAACAAAACCTAAAGCTTGACAAATCCCCAGGTAGGTTTTTCCACATCCTACCTCACATCTCAGTCCTGTAAAATATGCTAAATGTACAATGTTTCAAACCAAAGGGAACTATCTTCACTCGTAATATATGCTCCAAGAGACAATTGTTACCTAAAACAAATCCTCCAAACATTGCTACAAAGAAACCGGATCAAATAAATTAAATAATACAAATGAAACTCATCCAGGAAGTTATATTACCCTAATTATTTTATTATTATTTAATCCTAAACTGCCAATGTGCTGAAAAGGAAACAAAATCACAGATCAAGATCTGACAGATTTCAAAAAATCAAACAAGAACTTTATTCACATTTATGGTTTTTAATCCTCAACCGGCATCGTGCTGAAAAGCAATGAATACATGCAGATCAAAAGCTAGATACGATAGATCTCTGTCATCAAATAAATAACTAAATTCAAATTGAATAAATAAGTCATCAGATAGCTAGTCACAGATAAATAAAAAATGTATGGATAAGAAAACCTAAAAACAAAATGGCAGTCCTTATGTTTGCTGCTGAGGAACAAATCACAATTCAATCCTTATGTTTAGTGATCAAGTCGATAAAATTAAATGAGAGAACATTCACCGAGAAATTAGGATATCATGAGCTGCAGCCATCAACCGCCGAAAGAAGTGCTGCAAAGGAATGAACACAAACACCAAATTTCATAGGCTCCGTAGACTCCGAAATCAGATCGTCACGATCGTCAATCACGAGTCAGTCAGGAATAACCTCATTGATATATTGATATCCTACACAACACATCCATAGCGTGTACGGCCCAAAAATTCAAGAAATCCAAAAAAATCAAGAAATCCAAAAAATCGGCTGAGTCTTAATTCAGGACGTTACAAAACTATTTCCAAACACCACTGAAGATAAAGAGATCATAGTTCAATCCCCATGTATAATGATCAATACCAAAAAACAATATATAATAGAAAGGAGACACAGAAGACTTAGGTTATGCTGAACTCTTGGCCGTTCTGAACTATTATGCTTTTCATGTTGCTTTTCATATCATCCATATGCAGAGAACCGGGCGACCAGTTGAAAAGGTGTAAAGAAATTACTACAAAAAGTATCTTGTTCTTCAATCCGACAAAAGCCCATCTATCGATACCCATATAATTCTGAAAACTCTGACAAAACTTGATCAAGAAGGGAAACACAGGCCATACACCACAATCTATCGATACCCATATAATTCTGAAAACCCTGAAAAAACTTGATCAAGAAGGAAAACACAAGCCATACACCACAATCTTCGAAACAATACTAATATACTAAAATAAAATTCAATCCCTAAAACCATGAATGTCAGACAGAAGATGCAAGAACCAAATTTGACACGAGAAGAACCACAAGGGCAATGGGGGTTTATATAGAGAGGTAAGTCAAAATTGACAACTGTGATTACGCGGTGGAGGAAATCTGGACGGTCATGATACAGTTTCAAGATTTCCGTCCTTATCTTTTGGGGTCAACTGTAAACAGCTGTTTACCGAGTTATAATAAGAGAAATAACATTCTAGTTATTATTCTTAAATGTTTATGATATTTAAAAACTTCTTATGAATATTATCTTGTGTTTAGTTAAGAGATAATTCATTAGCTTTTCTAGTCAAGATAATTAAATTTTTTTTAATCTTTAATCTTGTGTTTAGTTAAGATATAATTCAATAACTTTTCTAGTCAAGATAATTAAATTTTCAAGATTGCTTTAATCTTCAATTCGATTTCAAACATTTTAAATTGTGCACATTATATAAAATTTAAAATAAATATTTTGTATTTATATTATCAATTGTTAAAAAATATTTTTTTAATTAATATTTTTTCACGTTATTAGTTTTATTATAATGAAATATATATATATATATATATATGTATGTATATGTATGTATCTGACTTTTTATCGCTATTTCAGATTTTAGAGTAATATATTTATGATTAGTCTTATTTTGATTTTCTAAATTTTTTTCTTAACTTTTTACATGTTTTACTATAAAAATATTTTAAATTCTGTAAGGGAAAGTAAGTTTTTTCTAAAAAGTATTTATTCAAATATAAAATCGGAGTCCTAATAATAATAAATTCTTAATTATCTCTTTTTTGAGATGTATTTAAGGTACTAATATTAACCAAACAGCATATCACTCAATTGAATTGATTCAATTGAAAAATAACATTATATCACAGATGGATTATCTTAACCAATCTTAAATTTAATTATGAATTCAAATATTTATTGCTTCTGAATTTGAAAAGAATTTATCCATAGTGAAATAATATATAATATCATATTCTTTATTTATTGTTAATACAATGAAGTTTTTTACTTGATGATTTAACTAACCATTTAGTAATTTATTTACTCGAAGATAATATAATTTTATTTGTTTTATTTAATAATTTATTTCAAAATATAATTTTCTTCAACCTTATTTTTAGTTTCAAGAAAATGAATTACAGATCATCCACACATCCATTTAGATAAAAAAAAATACATTTTTAAGACATTTTAAAATTATTTTTTGTTAGTGTGATATGTTTTTATATATTTTTTTAATACTAAAACTAATTATAGTCTAATCTCAAAGATTTTAAGAATAATATTCTAAAGTCTTAAAATAAAATTAAAGGTTAGAATACCTATAATATTTTTAAGTCGGTTTTACAGGCATACTAATGATACTATAATGGTTATTATTAGACTACAAAATCATATAATGTATAATTGAAGCCGAGGTTATATCTAAAAAAAATTAATAGCACAATCTATAATTCTAAACTGTTTGTCTTATTTTACTTAAATATTTTATGTTCTAGATAAATGTACATGTTCTGAAAATTGAAGACCCTAAAATAAATATTCTCATTCGTACTTTATTATTTGAAGAGAAACATTTTGATACGCTGATAATCTTATAGTTTTTATTTGATGCATAATAAGATTTATCATATATATACTATATATATATATATATATATATATATATATATATAGATATAATATATTGAGATAGATATATATTAAAATACAAATAAATAAATTTCAATTTTTTTACATTACATAAATAAACAGTTCGAATCTATCTAATTGGAAAATTTATTTTATATTCATTGTCAATAAAATGCAAGGAAAAATAAATTAGTTATTTTAATGCATAACAATTATTTGTAAATTTTTCGATCACGTAAATTATATATATTTCAAACTTTTCACTAAAAAATCAATAACTCTTTTTTTTTCAGTTCAAACAACCATACTTTTCACACTATTTTTTCCTTTCACTCCTACCAAATCCAAACAAACCATTAATGCATAAAGCTTGGAGAAAGGACAACTTACAAATAAAAGACAAATTTATGTTTACAAATCGTCTTAAGAAAATGCAAGGATACAAAACCTAATTCTTTAGGTGAACTCCTACACCACACATACATACCTTGTCTTCCCTCTATGCAATTAAGATTTTCATCCTTCTAGGTAACCATAAACAGCTGTTAGTAATAATTTTCTTTTATCAGCGAAATTTTAAGTTGTTTATGACATTTAAAAACTTCTTATGAATATTATGTTGTTTTTATTAAGAGATAACTCATTAACTTTTCTAGTCAAGATAATTGTATTTTTAAGATTGTTTTCTATTTCTAACATTTTAAATTGTATAATTTATAACAATTTTATTAAATACATATGTTGTATTTATATTAAAATAACTTTAATGTTTCTGTTTTGTTTCTGGTAGTTTGTTAGGAAAGGAGCTCTTTGGGCTTACCGGAACCCTATATAAGGGATTCCAGCTTCTTTATTCAACTCTAATATTCATTCAAACATTATATACATTTTCATTTTCTCTTTTCTGCAAATACTGATTAAGGAAGAAGTTCCTACCTTTGTCACGCGTGACCCATTCCGATCTTCTCTTTCCGATCCATCACCATCGCCGCTGGTGGCTTTGTCGGAGCTGGTCGAAGATGCGTTCTCCCTCTCGCCCTTGCAGCTGATCGTGTTCAACAAGCCTCTGAAATCCAGAAGCTTCTTTCGAGACTTTTGTCTCAGACGCATGTGGGCCAGGGAGCTTTTGGGCCAGCTGTTTTCCTTTATGGTACCAGAGCAGGTCTTGTGCCTGTTCTGCCACTCATTCCGCTGCAAACTCTCCCTCTTCTTGACTCTTTTCTTGTTTCTTTAATTTCTTTCTTGCCCTTATGGAGAAAGTGGATCAAATCAACAATCCTGCTAGTCCTTACTACTTGCACCCAGGGGAGAATCCTGGTGCCTCCCTTATATCTCAAGTTCTAAATGAGTCAAACTATACTTCATGGAGCAGAAACATGAGTAGAGCCCTTCTCTCCAAAAATAAACTGAAATTCATAGATGGAGGAATCACAAGGCCAATAAATGATGACAGCCTATTTGATGCTTGGGAAAGAATCAATATGATGGTACTATCTTGGATTACTAAGACACTCTCACCTCAAATAGTAGAGAGCGTAATATATGTAGAAAATGCACAAGAACTATGGGAAGAATTGAAAGAGAGATTTTCTAAGGGTGATCACTTCAAGTTTTCAGATTTACTCCAAGAAATCCATTCCATTAAACAGGGTGAAAGAACTGTGAACCAGTATTTTACAGATTTAAAGACTTTGTGGGAAGAATTAGAATTTTTAAGACCCATTCCAAGCTGCAGTTGTAAAGTTCCTTGCAGTTGTGATCTATCCAAAAACTCACACAAGTACAGAGACATGGAGCATGTTATATGTTTCTTAAAGGGCTTGAATGAATGCTACAGCACTGTCAAAACCCAGATATTGCTTATGGAGCCCCTACCCAATATTAATCGTGTTTTCTCACTCATCATACAACAAGCAAGACAAGAGAAACATGATCTCAGTCAAAGCGACATCAAAGTTCTTGCAAACACCACTGAGAGACAAAACCAGTGGAAGAATAATCAGGGATCGAAGGCCTATGGGCGTGGAAACCCTCCCAGAAATCAAGGAAGAGGGAGAGGGAGAAACCCCAACTACGGGAAACAGTGTTCCCACTGTCATAAGATGAACCATACCATTGATGAGTGCTATTCCAAGCATGGATACCCACCTTGGTACAAAAGAAATGACAGCAACAGTGAGAACAGCGCTGGACAGAATGAATGGGGATCAGCCAATACTTGTTCGACCTCTACAGCAACACAGAACAATCCACAAAAGTGCCATTCAAAGTTTCTTTCACCCATGAGCAGATGCAGAGGATACTACAATGCTGGAAAAAGGCTGACAGCCCATCCCACAGTATCAGTCAAATCAATAAGGACAGTTCCAGAGGACACACAATTTGGTTATGTTCTCATGGATCATAGATACAGGGGAAACAGACCTACGTGATCGTCATGATAAAAACCAGTTTACAACTTTCTAAAAATAAAAACCCATATCTGTCAAACTACCACATAGCTCTGTGTACTGCTCAGTAGTGCGAGAACCATACATTTTTCCAAAGAATTTGTGATTTTCAATGTTTTATATATACCTGAATTCACCTTAACCTCATATAGTTCAGGTCTTACTAGGGATATTAATTGTACACTAACTTTTTCTTCTAAGATGTGTGAAATTCAGGACAACTCCACATTGAAGATGATTGGAATAGTTGCAGGGCCTAATTGTGCACAAGGGCCTATATCATTTTTTTTCATGGTGATATTACCAGCAGTTCCGAAGAGGTACTCTGCGGGAATGAAAGGGAAACCTGGATCTTCCTCATGACAATCATGGTTGGGTGAAGGACTGTTGAGGGAAAACACTACCACTGGAAACATTAATCCTAATGAACAGGGACCAGGTATAATGCACATAGGGATCCAGTTTTTTTTAGAATTAGAAAACCCCTGAATTACTTGAAAAATTACATTACGACAGGGTGATGAATCTACCATCCACCCAGTTGTGTGCCAAGAAGATTTAATTTGATACCAACCTTATTCCGATTGAAAGTGTCTTATCTTACAAGTCTCTTTCTGAGAAACACTTGAAATATACTCTTGCTATAACTGTCAATAAGGAACCCAAGTCTATGAAGAAAGCTAAGACCAGCCCCGAATGGATTGATGCAAATGAAGAGGGAAACAAGCCCTCCAAAATGAACAAGACCTGGTATTTGACTCAACTTCCTCCAGGGAAGAGGTCCATGGAGCAGATGGGTCTATAAAGTAAAGCATTAAGGCTGATGATGGCAATATTGAGAGTGCACAAAGGCTAGGCTGGTGCACAAGGGGAATACCAACAAGAAGAGATAGATTCTAGGGACACTTTCTCCCCCGTGGAAACGCACCTCTTAATTTTGCTGCTCTTGCAGCCTCTAGAAACTGGAGTTTTATTTTTACATCAGCGAAAAAAAAACTGGATGTGACAATGCTTTTCTTCATGGGGATTTAAATGAGGATGTTTATATGGATCTCCCTCCAGGACTAAATGTTGACAATAAGGGGCTAGTTTGTAAGCTGACTAAGTCTCTGTATGGACTGAAACAAGCCAGCAGGCAGTGGTTTGAAAAACTCTCCACGTTTCTTATCTCTTCAGGATTATACCCAATCTATCATCAGATCATTCCCTATTGTTAAAAGAACCTCATTATAATTTTACAGCATGCTTGTATATGTTGATGATATTCTAACAGGAGACTCTATGAGGAAATCATCTCATTAAGACATTGTTGGAAATCAGTTTCGGATTAAAGACTTAGGGAAATCAAGTACTTTCTTGGTTTTGAGTAGCTAGACTAAGGAGAGAATACAGTTGTGCCGAAGAAAAAATTGCTATAGATATTTTGGAAAACAGGAATGTTAGAAGCCAAAACCTAGTCTACACATACTTAAGCAAACAAGCGGTCTATACAAGACAGAGGATTATATGAACAAATGTCCCAGTGATTATAGGAGGATGAATAGGCAAATATTCTATCTTACTAACACCAGACCTGATCTGTGTGGTAGTCAACCTTAAGTCAGTTCATGCAGGAACCAACTAAAGATTACCACATCAAGCACTACAAACGATATTCACGATATGTCAAGTTAAGTCCTGCTGAGGGACTCTTTTTGACTGCGACATCTAACCTCAAAGAAAGGGTTTTCAGTGATTCAGAACTGGGCAACATGCCCAAAATACCAGGAGATCAAACTACTTGGCTATTGTATCTTCTTAGGTAGCTCTCTTATCTCTTGGAGGTCAAAGAAGCAAGAGTACGGTTTAAAGGTTCTTCTACAGAAGCAGGAATACAGACTCTTGCAGTACTGTATGTGAAATGCAGTGGTTGCACTATCTACTCCAAGAGTTGCATGTTTGAACCAATACAACGGATGTACTCTATGTGACAACAAAACTTGCAAGGACATGCCATTATCAGAGTTATTCATGAACGCACCAAAACCATTGAGCTGGATTGTCACGTCGTTCGTGAGAAAAGCCAAGATAAGTTCTACACTTACTCCCCATCGGTCAGAAGAGCAATCGCAGATATTTTTACTAAGTTTCCTCCTCGAAGCGATTCAAGACTATCAATTCCCAGCTTGGGCATGGTGATATCCACCATCCAGCTTGAGGGGAGGATATTAAATGTTTTAGTGTTTCTGTTTTATTTTTGGTAGTTTGTTAGGAAAGGAGCCTCTTTGGGCTTACCGGAACCCTATACAAGGGATTCCAGCTTCTGTATTAATTACTGATATCCATTCAAAAGGAATAATACACAATTTCATTTTCTCTTCTCTGTAAACATTGATCAAGAAAGAGAGTACTTACCTTTGTCACGCGCTGAACCATACGATCTCCTCTTTCGATCCATCATCATCGACCGCTGGGGCCTTTGCGGAGCTGGTCGAAGATCGCTTCTCCCTCTCGGCCCTTGCAGCTGAAACGTACTCAACAAGCTTCTAAAAACCAGAGAGCTTTCTTTCGGACTTTGGCTCAGGACGCATGTGGGCCAGGGAGCTTTTGGGCCAGCTGTTTTTCTTTAAAACTAGTTATCCATTTTCATGGACAACTCAAGCTTACAACAATGGTGGAAATAAAAGAAAGGAAAGAGCCAAGGAAGAAGAATGAGTGTTCCCGCAGCTCTTAGCCAACCTCCAAATATAACACCCCAATTGTTTATATTTGGGATGTCATGGTTACAAGTAAAATTTTAAATAAAATTTAAAACATGATATCATTGGGGAAAATCCATATTAAATAAATTTCTACAATTAACCAAAAAAAAACCATAACTGTAATTGATCACAAAACAAAATTCCCATTAAAATAATTTATTTAAAATATATAACCCATAAATTCCCAAACTCTTTCTCAATTTGCTCGCTGAATCGGTCATCGTAGTGAAAACCACAACCACAAACATATGAGTGAGCTAACTAAGAATCAATCATAAACGAATAACATAACACACACACATGCTAGATATTCATCACAAATATAAAACAACAACAACACGCCTACAATTTCAACCTGGTTAACCATCATCATCACAAATCAGTTTTCTGTTCCCTTATACCCTACCATACTCCCCGTTCATCAAAACTAACCAGTTCGAGTCATCCTTTCATTTGTCACCGGACCCATCCTCTTCCCGCATCCACGGCCAAAAATAATCTTTTTCCCGTATCCATCGCCGAAAGAGTCATCAACTTGAACTCATCCTCTCCCCACATTGACAATCAAAGAGAATTTCTTTCCGATATCCACAGCCAAAAAAGTCATTCTAGATTTACTGGATACGGTGCGACAACCTACAATACCCTGTCATATTTTCACCCGCACCACATACCACCACACGTCAAGTCTCATGTAATCAACTTCATATCCGAAACTATACTGTCTCACAACCCCTCCAAAAAATTCACATGCCAATAATAAAACAATTATTATAACTATTTCAAATCAACCAAAAACATGAAATAATGAAACATATATTTCTTAAATGCAAATATCATGTCAAGATTAAATTAATGGAAACACTTAATCAAATCTTTACTGAACACACACCCCTTGTTTAATTAATCTCATTCCTAGTTAACCACACCACAGGTCCCACACTATTTCAAAAGTTTCTTCACATTTTATTTATTTATTTTCTTTAACGTAACTCATTTATCTCTCTCCCTGTGCTACTTATTTAATTTAATATTATTCCATCTTCTTTTATCCTAAGTGGCCCCACCAATATACTATCAAATTGCATCAACACCACTTTCATGTAGACTAATCTTATTCCTTGGAATTCCTTATTATTTTAATATAATAAAACCATCTATGCATTCATTCTTTCGCCAATATAAGAAAACAGAGGACAAACATATTACCTTTAATGCCATTTGCAATGCGATTTTCAAAACTACTCTTACCTTTATTTTTATTTTTTTTAAGTTACGAATCTCTCTCCTGATGCCACTAACATGGCATAGATTCACACATAATTTTGCTCGCGTTATTCTTACAAACATAATGCACAATACTCTAATATCCAACACAAGGTAAGTCAACTCAATGGAAATCCATCACTCCTGCACTCAATTTCACTCCTTGCCCATCTACAACATGAATTAGACAACTTCTCATCTTCCTAGGGGTCCTACAAGGTCTTTAAATTCTCATAGCTTCCTTTTTTTTTATATATACATAAGCATTTAATGATTGCAGGATATATATATATATATATATATATATATATATATACTCATAAAAATCGAAACAAACAGTGGGATTGCACCATGACAACACTCGTACAGAAAACAATGNATATATATATATATATATACTCATAAAAATCGAAACAAACAGTGGGATTGCACCATGACAACACTCGTACAGAAAACAATGTATTCATGATTACCAACATCTCAATGAACCAAAACAATGGTATACAAACTCATAAATAGCAACCCATATACTATAAAGAAACTTGAACTAACTCCTCCTACCTCAAAAGATCCAAGCTTTTCTTTTTGTCTCACGTTGCAGTCCAAAAATTTCTTCCAATTAATTTAAGCACATAAAAGGAGGGATTAGTGATCAAATTAACCTATTACAGCATAGGATGTAACCACTTAGGAAAATAAAGGAAAACTAGGATATGGAAGGTAAAAAGCTATGGTAAAATTGATCTTTGTTCATAATTCAATACTGAAATGATAATAAAATCTGCATTATCACCTTCTTGCCTGTGTGAGACTGTGAGGAAGGGAATGATGTTTCACCCGTAGGTTTTTGACTTGTTGTTGAGTATAGTGCTCAGTGTGCGATGTATCAAAGTTTTTACCTGTAATTCCTTGAGGAGTAGGGGATACATGTCTTCACTAGGACAATTCAAACCGTCCTGTTTTGGTAGGCAGGTT